TTATGGTATCTAAGACTAGTCTCATGATCATCCCTTTTCAGTGGCTGTCAGTGTTCCTGCCCTCCTCTCAGTGTATGAGGGTTCTTCAAAAAGTTCATGGAAAAATTGGTATTATCTTTCCTTTCTGTTTTTTCCACGAACTTTCCGAAGTTCCCTGCACCTTGCACATTGTATTACCTGATTCATCTCCAGTAGTTTTTAGTGCAACATTTTGCTTAGCAAAACTCTGAAGAATCCCATGTGTTCAATGACACGTGGATTAGTGACACAGCATTTGTTGGAATGCTTAGGAGGAAAACAAAATATTTCCATTAAAATGCTCACATCTAGAGAACAAGTGTAAAGGGGAATTAATTCCATACTGAAAAACATTTAAGTCAATGACATAGTGCATTAGTATCATTTGTGGATCCACTTTGTATGTGGCAGTGCTAAGATTCACCTTTTCAAAGCCTTTGCATAATTTTTTTGATCCTTTCCGTTAGTGAGCTTGGTTGGCATCCTCAATTCCTTTAAATCCAGGGAAAATTAGGTCCAAAGAAGTCCACTCTCTTTCCCAGCAAATCAGGTTTTGTTCATCTCAGTGCTTGGCTTCTGTTTGGCTCCTCTGATAGCCCAGCTGAGCTATCCTACTTATTTTCATTTAGTCAGTAGACAGCACAAGTCTCCACCTAAATGGGGTGCTTAAAAAACTATATGTATGCATTCATTTGGGGGGAAAAATAAGCAATTCTTGGAGGATATAGAGGTCAGTGATGCCTCTAGAGATTTTAAAGTGCAATAAAATGTTCTGAAATTGCTGCATTTGTCTTACTTAAAAAGGCAGTATAGACTTTTGTGTATTCTGGTATCTGTGTGTCTATGTGTATGTGTGTTTATATATAAATAAAGCTTTTTTTTAAATTGTAGGGGATACTAAGATAGGTAATAAAGCCGCCCATTATCCCAAGAGGCCCCCCACCCCCCAAAAAAATGCAGTTTTGGTATATAACGTTTAGTCTTTGTTTCCAAATGCATATGTATTCTTGCTTTACTTTATTCACACAAATTATCTGGGCACAACTGTTATAAAATTTTACCAAGAATAACATTCTGCCATTCAGTTATATTGGAACATGTTCAGTAGCATAATTTATGGCCTCGATATCTGAAGGGAAACAGATTCCCCCTCCTCATCTTAACTGTTCAGGTCCCAGTCACTAGCAGAGAATTGCCATTTGTTTTTTCCAAGGGACACCTTTTTCGTAGGGAAGTTCAGAAATTCGGGTCCCAAGCTTTTCTCACTTCTGTAGATTGCACTGAGAATCACACTTTGAACATATGCTTTCCTGTAAAAGTTTCCTGGGGTCTCTTAGAAGTAGCATTTGCTGCCCTCTAGGCTCTGAGAGCAGATGGTCTATCCATGACCTCTTTCTTCTGCTTCTTCTGGAAGCTCTCCTTCCTTACCCTATGTGGACCAGATGAGCTCGTTAAGGCAGGTGCCATTTCTGCCCATATGCTTCATATGTAATATGTGACATGACTTATAGACCACAAACTTCCTGCTGCCACGGGGTACACAAAGGGTGCATTTGTCTAAGGAAAGGCACTTACATGCCATGAAGTGTGGCATAATGCTGCCTCCCATGGTTCAGCCACCACTGACAGCCTATATCCTCTGATTTTTAGGTCTTGGGGAATTCTGCTGTTTCAAACCAGTGACCTTTTGAGTGTTTTCCACTAGGTCTCCCAGCTGTTTTCAATCCATCCAAGTAGTTTTAGCTAAAATAAATTATAAATTGTAATAAGGAGGTTTGTTCCAGCATTCATATTTATCAGATTTTAAGATTTAATGACCATATGGGCCTAAAACAAATCTTTGACTTTTTTTTTTTTTTTTAAAGCAATCAAGTGGAGTCTCTTGGTTTTGACTATTTAAATATTAACTTGTGGTCATAACCCACTTTTGGCTGCTGTAAAGGGTGTAGCTTTCTAAAACAAAGGTTTTCAGCAACTAGCTAGCAAAGAGGATCAAATGCCTCTTTAAATTAAAAAAGATTTGCATATTTGTTGTAAATTACAGCTTGTTGTATCAATTGAGCTGGGACCTTTTGACTGGAGTGTTCCATGGACTGCTTCCTTGGAGGAAACAGACTTTAATTGGTTGATTACGCCAACATCCTTCAGACTGGCTGATTTTGTACAGTTAACAGTGGAAAGGCCATTAATTAATTGGTATTTATTTGTAAATTAATATTTTATTGCCTCAGTGAGATGTGAATATGGTGTTCTTGAAAAAGTATTCTAAATAAGGCTAACGTCTCCTTAAACTAGTCCATCTGATCCCTGCCCCACCAGAAGTATCCCCTTTGTCAGTTTGGTGTGGACATTCATGGAAGGCAAAAGCTGTGCCTGTGTTTGGGTGTTTAACAATTGTCTTCTGCTGTATTTGGCAGCATGCTGTTATCGCTCAACATTATGTTTGGAGACCATCCATGTGTTTATCTGTAGAGGTAGCTCATTGCTTCTCACCTCTGCAGGCTGCTTTATAGGTTGGCTCTCCCACAGTATTTTTAGAACTTCCAGTTGTTTGCAGTTTTTCTTTATACCAACAATACTGCAATGAACATCCTGGTGAATGTACCTTTGAACATGTGTTCGAGTGTTTCTCTGTGACAGAAAATGAAAAATGTCCTTTATTTTAGATATGAAGATCTTAAGAGATGGAGAATTTAAGACCAGCCAAAGTCTTATAAATGATTAGCACAGTATGGATTGAAACTGTTTTCCCTGACTCCACCTATCTAGTTAGAAATTCTTTACAAATTTTTGTAGAGGGTCATTGGGATCCTGGATAGAGTCAAGTGCAATAAAAATAACTGTGGTGGAATCTTGCTTATTCCAATTAACTAAGAGGGTCAGTCTGAATTAGGAGAAAATATGAATTTAAAGATGTAATGTTGTATAAATTTGAAGTGTCTACAGTGACTCACACTAATATCACATAATAAAATTCCTTCAGGGAATCATATTAATGAAGCAATAATAAAAGCACCTAATCATCATTACTGAGAATAAAGACATATTGAAATTGTTCCACGTTTATTCTTATCTATAGGTAAAATATTTCTCCCACAATCTTTTTTATATTTTAATATGCTTATTAGCAAATGATTTTTCCCTAGTTAGAGCAAGATAACCATAACCATTTCCTTTCTGAATAATGTAAATTAGCCCAAGGGAGGTGAAAGGGGTGGACATTTGAGTAATTACTCTGCCAAGTAGGAGGTTTTTAAGCATTTTCTCTTATTTAATTATCTTAACAGTCTTATGAAGTGAGTCTTATTATTTCCATCACATAAGTGGAGAAACTGAGGCATAGAGGGCTCTCAAATGACTTGCTGAAGGGTACCTCTGAGTTTGCCTGTCTTGAAAGAGTAATACCCTTTCAAATATATCATAGTTTCCTTAAATATGGTCCTCAGACCCCCTGGGTCAGAATCTCCCGGAATATTTCTTAATACTGCAGATTCCTGGGCCCCTGAACACAGGGCGCAGGATTCTGCATTTTTAACAAGCTACCAAATGTTCCTTATGCACTTTAGTCTGTGAGCCAGTCTGCCAGACCGCAGTGACCTCATTTTGGTGGTGCAAGGAGCCGTGCCCAGAGAGTGCCCCATGCCTCTTAGGACAAGTAATTCTCTTCATGCATCACTCGCAGGGACATGTTAGCCATGCTGGGCGGCTTACTCCTTTCCCACTTTCCTGGCCTCACTTTACTTGCACTGAACTTAGCATGGCTCACAGTTTGACAAGTCATTTCCGAGAGTTGAAATCATCATGCTACATAGGAATCACTTTTTAAAAAAAAGGTTGAAATTTCCAGTGTAAAACATCAGATCCCAAATACATCTTTTGTGTTTTAGAAATATGGAATCTGCATTTTGCATTCCAATTCTAACCCCTGTTCATATAAAAAAATAAAAAGAGGCGTCAGCTTGCAGAAATGACTGCCTTTAAAACACCAATATGTGCTTTATTTTCCTTTCTAGCCCCCCTTTCCCACACTCCCCTGGTGGTAGATTTCCTATACATCTGCCCCTAATCATTGATGACTTTCCTAGAAGTGAGATGTGACCGGTCCTTTCCAGCTGCAGCCCTCCCACTAAGGACAGGGTTTTGGGGGAGTCAGCTAGGCTCAGTGACCACCTTTGTCTCCTTTGCCTTTTTCTCTATTATTATCTTTTTTTCTCAGCTCTGTGAAATTTTCTTTTTCATTCCCAAATGATATGCGCTCCCCTCAAGGGGCTAGTCCAAGCTCCAGTCCTTTCCAACAAGTTAAGTAGGAGGTTTTCCAGATGGCTGATAGGCATTGAGACAGCAGTGATCCAGGGGGGATCCTAGACCAACTTGGATTTGTGTTCATATATTATCTTGTTGTGCTGGCAAAAGAGCATCCGTTTTTGTTTTGGTGTTGAGCTCATCCAAATTAAGAAGGCATTTCCTCTCCTAAAAGGCAGAAAAAAAAAAAGAAAGAAAAGACAAAACAGGAAAAAAAATGTTAATTTTAACCATGTACTCCTTTGAAACTAAATATATACCCCTTCCTGTGTTCTGATTGGTCCGCTTGAATTGACAAGTGGATCGTGTGGAAAGGAAATATCCTGGACTTAATTGTAAGTTAAGTCTCTCTTCATCCAGAAGAGCATTTGAGATTCTGTCCAAGTGTTCAATTTCCCAGGCCGCTGAGGTCTGTGAATTTCTTTTCCCAGCCTCCAGGCTGCTGCAGTACAAGTCAGCATAGCTAATGCAGATAGATCTCCTGCCTCTCGCTCTTCTCCTCCCTCTGCTTTGATTCGATATGAACAGCCTGGTAACTCCGATGCTGGGGAGAAATCTGACATAACTCTGCAGATGGCTAGGTTGCCATGAAACACCTGGGGATTGTTCTTTAAGGAAAAGGTAACATTTATATGCTAATGATTTCTCCCCCCCTCCCCTCCTTGTTGCATTTTTTCCAGGGCTGCCAGTTCCCAAGAAGAGCCCAAAGTCGGTAAGGACTTGTCAGTTACTTGGTGCTTGTTTGGGGGGTGGGGAGGGTGGCTGGTGGTGGGAGGGTATGCTGTCTGGCTTCACTTTACTAAATGTGTTTTAGAGTGGATGGGGGAGACGAGAACTGGGGCTCATTTTACTGAGTTCTGGGGATCTGTTTGGTATAGAAGGTATTTGGGCTGTCTTTAACTGTGATTTGTGGGCAGGCTGCAGGAGCCAGGATAAAGAATGCATGTTTGCAATCTTATCTATACAAATACATCAGAACTCCTTCAAATGGATGAGTTTCTTAGCTGTTTTAACTTAATACAAATGCTATTGTTTCCTTTGGAAGGAGCGGGGTGGGGGGAAAGCTCCACCTGCTCCCCGAGTAGCCTTGCTCTCAACTGGTGTTCCCAGCGGTTCACATGGCTACTCATTCTCTCCCTGAGCTTTCTTATGCACTGGATGATGAATTATTTACAAAATAAAAAGCCTGTAGGTTTAAATAAGAACTGCTTTGCCCTGTATATGTCCATGCTCAAATGGAACAATGTGCATTGCCCCAGCACTGAGAAAAAGACATTTCCTTGCTGTGGAAATGTCCTTTGTTGTTTTGCTAGCTTTAGCAGCATTATGCTGCAAGTATAGGATTCTTAAAAAAAAAAAAAATCAATGTTTTGCTGTCCTTTCTAATCTGCTTTCCCTGAAGATGCATTAACCTAGTTGACATGTTAGCTAATAGCTTAGAGGCTGTAGTGTTTTGCTTGGTGGTATGGGCTTTGGCTCCTGGGGTGCTAACAACAAATTAAAATGCTATTTAAAAACTCAAAAGTCTGGAACTCCCATGCCTGTGAAATTGATCTGGGTAAAAGGGGCTTCCCAACTCATTAATATTAGGGTAAAGATGGGTGCCTTCATGTGGCTTAAAAGATTTGGGGGAGGGAAAATTTGCAGCTTTCTGACACTCTGGAAAGGAGAATCTTTAAAACTTTGCAGTTCATGGTGCTGCAGCTGAATTCTTTCCACCTGTCTCCAAACCTGGCAGCACGAGGCAGAAGTTTATTAAGGAGATGAGAGAGGGAGCTTCCTGCATTCTTAAGCCCTACTTCTAAGTTCTCCAAAGAGAAAAACCTGCAATAATTGATGTGATTCCAATGGCATAGCACCGTCGTGATTGGAACATTGACTTCAGGGCTGCTTCCCTTGTCAGTTTGTGTTAATGTCCAGGCAGAAAAGTGCTGGTTGGTGCCCACATTGGAACCATAGAGATGCCAAAGCGTGTGTATGTGTGCATGTGTGTCTTCCTATCCCTGGGTTGTAGTCAGAAACCCATTTAGCCTTCAGAAAACTGGTAGCAAATCTCACAGATATGTATCATAAGCTCGAGTTAGTGTTAGCCATCCTTTTTTCTCCCGCACCCCCAGCCATGCTATGTTGATGCATGGGCATATTTTACACACCCCACATGGAATGGAATCCTGACATGGAGCATATTGAGTGAGACATAGCAGATTTGAGCAGGTAGCATGACATCAGGTAGCAGGATGTTCTTTTCTGTTTTGTATTCCATTTACGTTTACTGTGCGAAAAGGTTTTTTGTAATTCATTTGCATCTCTTCTTCCCCAAAGTGTTTTGGAATTACCTGGTGAACTCAAAGGGTATTAAACAGGTATAGAGCCTGCATTCACCAAATCAGTTAAAAGAATTCCCTGTGACAGTTTTTTTTTTTTTTTTTTTTGGTAGAAGCCATGTCATTAGCAAGCAGCAAAGCAATTACTCGGACTGCATTCTTAGGGAAAAAGCTCTCTTAACTGCTTTGCCCAGTCTGCTGGCACTTAATTACCACAAGCTTAAGAGAGAGGTATGTTGCTGGGTTAGAAAAGAACAAGTCCCCAGCTTGGAGCTTGTCTTTACTCGATTTCTGTGCCAGGGCAGGGATGATGGTTTTCACAGCATTGCTGGTACACTCTAGCAGCTGCTGTGCAAAATTTGGGGGCTATCAGCCAAGGTCTGCTGTTGGCAATAGAGCGTTGCTAACATCTGTGATCAGTGGGAGCTCTGTACAGGTGGGTTGAGAGCTGTTTCCCTTTCCCAGTTTGAATTTTGATGATGTCCTGCCAGAGAGACAGATGATTATGGGATTTTTCTGGTGGGGTCAGAGTGAATCCATAGGGAAGCTGGATGTCCTGGTACCCAAAAGCCATTCAGGTAATGACAGATAGAGTCAATTTATGCAGGCTGTATAATTAAAAGCACACTGTGTCTGAGATGTGATTCACTTAGATTTACCAGTAGCTCTGTGAATATAGTATCTTAACCCTGGACTGTGTTTTTTGCCACGTGTCTGACAACCAGCACAGTAACAGATCCCATCAAAGCTTCTACAAGCTATGAGGGAAAGCAATGACAGTAGGAGGGAAGAAGGAATAAGGTTGCTGGAGTGAGTCTCCTCATGTCTCACCTCCCAAAGCAACTCATGTGCGCGACCCTCAGAAGCCCGGCGAGATAGACTTTGCCATCGGATTACATTCCTTTAAAACATTCAGTGTGAACCAAAATCCATTTTCATAGCCAATCAATGCTTTTCTTTTCCTCTCCATGAACTCCTCTCCCCTGCCTTTTCAGTAGAAATTGTTTGACTTAGACCCACAAATGATCAAAGAAAGACAGAACTAAGGACCATCCTCTGCTTTGGCTTGGATTTGAGTCTCTGATTTTCACACAACCTTTAATGACATTGGTCTAATACCTCATCAGCACTTGGAGTTTTTCCTGTTGTCCATGTAAATCGCTGCAGTGGCCTTTGGTCTTGGCAGATAAGTGAACTGTAAATAATTTTGCTTTAAAATTGATCGATTTGTCATTTTTAAGCCACATGAATTCTTTTCATCATTTAAGCTCCTAAGTGCTGTCTGTACTCATTTGCTCTTCCGAGCAAATACTTTCAGTTCAAAATCATCCTGTGAAATACTGATGAGTTGATCCCCCCCACCCATTTCCATTTATAAAAACCATTGCATCTTCCCGATTTCCCTGGCCTGACAGTAGTAAGGGAATTATTCATTTCAGGGAGGTTGGTACGGTTTTATTTTAAAAGGTCTTGTGATACAAGTTTATGAGCATTGTGTGGCCAAGGACCTTTATGGGGTTTTTAAAATTGAGCCCATTTTCTTCTTCGTAGTTGGCTGTGATTTGGGACTCAGAAATAAAGTTCTTCAAAAATATCAGCACAGTGACAATAATTAGCATTGGAAATATCCATCTCAATGGATCCTTCCAACTGACTTGGGTGGAGACTTCCCCCTGCCCCCTATTCAGTCTGTCAGCAATGCCTATTGAGTCTGGCACCAAATGTCTTTTGAACTCACTGACTGATCCTTTCCTTCGTCACTGCTACCGTGGTTTAAACCACCGCAGGTCCCTCACATGAACTGCAGCAATAGCCTCTGATTGGCCTCTCTGCTTTCACTCCTTTCCCCACCAATTCAACAGTCCAAACTTTCTGGAAATATGTTGGCTCTGGCACATCCATACTTTAAATTCATCAATGGATTCCTCCTCTTGAACTAAGAATGAAACCCAGACTTCTTACAGTAGCTCACAGGGCTCTTGCATTATTTGGCCTCCAAGTCCATCTCAGGCTACCTCACTCCCTTGCTGTGCCACACTGGCCTTTCTGTTCAGACAGTCCAAGCTCATTTTTGCCTGGGGAACTTAGCACATGCTGTTTCCATTAATGGAATGATCTTCCAGAGGCCTCTCTTTACCACCCATCCGAAGGATATTGCACCATGTTGTAATCAATATAATATGAATATTTGATTACACACACCTTAGATATTCACTCAGGTATATATTCTAAAAGCTCATCTCTTTCTTACTTATACATTGTGTACCTCAATATCTGGCATACAGTAGGTGATCATTATGTATTTATTGGATGAGTGAATATATGTATTGCAGGTAGTTACTTAGGAGGGCCTCGTCTGGAGATTCTGTCATTGGGGTACTAGGTGCTTTCATCCATCCATGTTCTTAGTTTGCATACAGTTTCTTCAACAGACTTGAAAGTGTATCTTTAACTACAGTTACTTGTCTTTGGGTGTCTCACCTAGAAAAATGAAGTGAAAGACGGTCACATTAGATGCAAATCTGATCTCCATCCATGTTCTTAGTTTGCATACAGTTTCTTCAACAGACTTGAAAGTGTATCTTTAACTATAGTTACTTGTCTTTGGGTGTCTCACCTAGAAAAATGAAGTGAAAGACGGTCACATTAGATGCAAATCTGATCTAGTGCTATAACTAGTTCAGAAGTGAGTTTATTCTCATGCCTCAAGTCTTCTGGGATGTAATCCAGCCTGCTGAAAAGGCATACAAGTTGACTTTAATTTGGGAGCTATATAAACATGGCTTTTCTCCTGGACAAGTCTGGGCTCTAACCAGATAAAGGACAACATCATAGCTAATTAGCATGCCCACAGAAAATAAAAAGGCTTATTTTGAACTTTTCCAAACACAAACAGAGAAGAGCTTCAAAAAACCCAGAGTGCCAACAAGATAGTAAATGCAGAATGTGTCTTCAAATTAAGGAGCTTTCATAACTGAACTTGAAAAGGAGCAGAGAGTGAGGTTAAATATTATCAGGGGGAAAATTGAAAAAGCTTCCAGATTATTATGTACTTGACCCATTAATATTCCATTTATATATGACAGTTAGTGATAGTTTAGTGGTGGCACAGTTTTTAAAGCACATTCTCTGGATGCTCCTTTACTTTTATTTCCCAAATCAAGGGACAAAGTTTAGATGGCATTTAAAAGGAACTCAGAGGTACAGTTTGACTGAAGGCAGTTTTGCAAACTCATTCCAGATTATGTCTGTCATTTTGTGTAAAATTGGACCTACGTGAGTCATGTACTGGGGAGGTGAGAAAGGGTGTTAAAATTTAAAAAATGACCCAAGCATTTCCAGTAGTCTTTATTTGCATCCTCTGTTTATGGCAAAGTTGTCTCTCCAGTTAAACCTAAGAGATCTAGATCCTCTGTGTCAGAGATTTGTTATACTGGGACAGATATCATAGGGTCTTAGAAACCCATCATGTGACATGCCCAGTCAGTATGTATGCATGTGTGGAGAAAGGACAAGCACTTCTGTCAGACTCTCTCAGTGTGGCAGAGTTGCCAGAAAATTGTTTTTCTCTAGTTCAGGGAGAGGGATCAAGAGGAAGAGGTTCAAGTTAGGTTTCAAGGGACAATGGCACAAGAAGACTGTGGGACAGTGACTGCAAAGTAACCCCATAAAAGCAGGAGCAGCATGTGTTTCCCTCAGGTCATCCTGCAGCATGTGGGAAGAAGTAATCTCAACACAAAGACTAGAGCTTCTAGGGCTAGAGACTTATTTCAACTGTGAAGTTAGTATTGATGGACCAACTCTACAATCTGGCATCTGCTATTCATTTGAGGAACCAAGAGAGGATGGGCATTTGAAGGCAGGCATGCAACTCTCAGAGTTAACTCAGAGGTCCTGTATTGATAAGTTATTTGCTTTTTCATTTAAAATATTTTCACCCGGCCCAAAGGTAAACAAAAACGAAACACTACTAAAATGTAAAAAAGTAGAAAGTAACTGTCTCCGTTAATTCTGTTTACCACAGTTCATTTCAAGATGAAATAACTTTAAATTTTATCTTGATTATGAAAAGTATTCTCCATGCATTATAAAAATAAAAGGTAGATTTTTTTTTGTATTTTTTGTATTTTCCTATGTATTTGAGTGCGTTCATACCAAAAAGACCCTTATAAAGACCACACTGAAGAGAAAAACAAATTTCCATGCACATGCAAAAGAAAATGAGTACTGTGTCTATCCTTAACATTTTCTGACTCTGGAAATCTTCAGCTTGTCTCCCAAGGAAGCTGGGGGGGCAGGTATTGCTTTTCTGCAACAGAACTCGGATACTTGGCCCTATTCGTTGTTGGACGTTGGCAGAACTGGGTTCTGTTTCAAGTCTTTGGAATGCTAATCCATCCAGGTCTGAGCTGAGCACTTTATCCTCAAAGAGAACAATGGCGATGTATCCTAATGATGGTGTTCTTCCTGCCCAAATGTCAGTGCGTTTCCTGGCATCTTCACCAGAGTGTGTTTCCCCTTGAATCTGAGTGAATTAAGCCTCTCATAGTTTTACCAAGATCACTATGCTAGCCTAGAATATGGTCCTCAGTCTTCTCCCACAGGCATACCAAGTATAATTTTAAGTGGTCTATCTTACCTTCATTAAATGCATGCCCAGTTTTTCTCAACTTTGAATCCTTGCCAAAACCTCTATTCAAATCTGTAATCCATAATAGTCAAGCACAAATGATGTGTTTGTCCTCCTTGGGCTTTCTTCAAGTACTCGTTTCAAAGCAGGGACTGGAAGGAGAGGAAGAAGAGGGACCTGAGAATTAAGTGAAAGGGACCTTGGAACTCTCCAGCAGAATTCCAGGGGAATGAATGCTGGGGAGAATACCTGGGGAGAAAGCAGGGAAGGACCATCTTGATGCGATTGATTAAAACACTTGGTGGAAGATTTGGGCACTATAAAGAACTTTAGGGAACTGAAGAGCTTGAGGTCAAAGATCTTATAAACTACTTTAAAAAGATAAACTATACAGGATCTGTAAAAGAGAATGGAGCTGCCCGTTCTGTCCCCTACTCCTTTACAATACTCTTAAGCAGATAAGTATAGTGACATGACCCCTGTTATTACATAGGAGGGAGGATTCCAGGATTATTTTAAATGGGGAATATTTAAGTACTTATTGGAGTATTTATTGGAGAAAATAAGTACTGAAATTATTTAATTTCCAACCCAGTATTTTTCCTCAGACTAGTTTGTGCTCTCATTTTAGTTGCCATTTAAACAAAGCACATTTCATAAAATGGAAAGGGTCTTTGCCGAGCAGGTCTTAATGAATAGGAACTTGCTTATTCTGTTGAAATTTAAGTGGAACTTTTCCCCTTTGAATACTACTTGGACTTTGGACAAGTTGCACATATAAGAAGGCTGACCCGCAGAAGTCAATCCATATATAAAATCTTGGTTTTTAACCAAAAGTAGTGTCAGCAGTTCAAGAGGTGAAATGTAATGCCTGCAAAATTGATTAGCTGAGAATTATGAGAGCTCTTCATATGGTAGTTATTTATATACATATAAGTACCAGTGCACATATAACGCTAGGTGTGATTTTTAAAAGATCTGACCTCGGTTTCTAATAGTCTAGAAGAACTGGTGGCAAACCCTTGGAGAGGAATTGGATGTTTTATTATTAAAAGATGCAGGACATGGAGTCCCAAGGAGCATTTTTAGCTCTAATTGTACTTCATCTGGATATTATAACCTTACAGTTAAACCATTCATGGTATTTTGTGTCACATATTTTTCTCAAGAAATGAAGATGTTAAAACTGATACATCATGCAATAAAAGAGCTCAATGTCTTAGCCGAGAACCTATGATGAAAATTGGATTTGTTTTCCGCTGCAGCCCAGAGAGCAATATGGTTTGTGATTATATCTTTCTATCTGGCCCTCCCCTCTACCTGTCTGCCAGTCATCAGGGGATTTATCTGCATTCGGTATTTGCTGGAGAAAGGTGGAAGCCCAAATGCTGTTGATGTATTTATGTATGTGTATGCAGAAATGCTGAACAAAGATAAGCTGGTGGAAAACACCCACCCAGAGAACCGGTAATAATGTTCTCTTCTTGACCCTCTTACTTGCTCACTTTCAGCAACCACTGGAAAGGAAAGACAGCCAGAATAGTTCTCAGCACAGTGTCTCCAGCCACCGAAGCCTGCACACAGCATCCCCAAGCCACAGCACTCAGGTGCTCCCTGAGTTTCCACCTGCAGAGGCCCCAGCTCCAGATCAGACCGACAGCTCTGGGCAGAAGAAACCAGATCCTTTTAAAATCTGGGCCCAGTCCAGGAGCATGTATGAAAACCGACGTGAGTTAACACTCTGGCTTCTGCCTTCCCCAGACCTCTCCCCAGTGCTTCAACATTCTTTTGAGCCATATTGAAAATAGAAGAGTTTCAATGTGTAAACTGGATAGAGATGAATCAGGGTGAAAGCTTCTCAGAGCGAGTCGAATCTGCTGGATATTCATGGGGGCTTCATTATGCCTTCAGTTTGGGGAGGGGTAGAAATGGATAGTCACCGAACAAATGGCCTTGATAAAAATGGGTTTATTTTTCCCTTCAGTTAAAAGAAGTGGCAAATAAAGAGCTATTGTCTTGTTCATTCCTCCCTGAGTGGAGTGTGTGGCATGCTGTCAGCTCATGTCTTGCAAAACAGCTCTGATATACAATAGAATATAGCTGTGATTATGGTTTGGACAGTAGGGGTAATGAGAAGAAATTAAATGCTTTCTGAGTGGTCTCTTGGTTTTTAAAAATATTGATAATTTTTTAAAAACTATCATCAGTCTTTCTAAAGATTCACCTCTGAAAGAAAAAAAACAAAGTGAGTGGTTTGTTCTTTAATTATTTATACAGTGGTCAGGCATGCTCCTCTGGCCTTACCTTTGCTATCAATATGAGCTAGTGATGGTATACTTTGTAACTTCTTAGCTCTTATTATTAAACCCAGTATCCCCTTTATTTTACTTTCTTACTCTTTATTATGAAATGATTTCCAAAGACTATTCACTGTAAATAATATTTCTTTATCTTACCAACGAAAGTTGCTAGAATGTTTTAATTTTAAGTGATTCATATTGGCCTTTTTTTTCCCCCAGGCTGTTGCTCTTTTCTGATGCTTTCTCCTGAGTGGGTTGGTCAGGGGAAGCAGCAATGAGCTTTCTCTTTGTGGCATGGGAAAGGAGAGGATATGTCATGAGGGAGGACACCGGGTTGTGTTGAAGGGTCTGAGGAACTGAGAGAGAGAAGAGAATCATTTTGCCTGTCCTCTTCGTCCCTGCCTCCCCTCAGCACAGGTTTCATTCCGAGCTCCAGCTGTGGCTCCCTCTGCGGCACAGCCCCTGCAGAGACAGCACAGAGGCTGTGTGACGTTTCGGCTCAGATGCGGCTGTGCTGCATTTCCTTTGCTGGCATGTGCTGGGAGACTCGAATTCCTCTGACCCAAACAGAACAGGGTGTGAGGCCAGCATCCCAGTCTGAGAAGCAAGTTGGCCACACCACTGAGTGAAACTCAGCAGTGAGGGGCACCAAGGGAGCCCAGAGTCGTGCTGATTACCAAACGTTAGAAGTTGCCCAGGAGTCCCTCTATGCTTTTCCTCCTCAAGGGAGAACTGTCATTGCCTTCTTACTACAGCAGTACATGGAATTAAATAGGCCGTTTTGGCTAAGGGTTCACTCTGCTGACAAAAGCCAGCTAATTTGAGAAGGGACTTACTTAGTCCCAGGACTAGAGAGACCCCCCTAATGTAGCCTTGAGGCCAGGCCAAAGGAAATGAAGTTCCACATGGACTATCCCTCCTACGCAGTAGATGCTCAGTATGAAGCTGGGTGTGTCCTCACTGTGTCTCCTCACTACCTGTAGCAATTTCACTGAAGAAAACCAGTGAGGAGGGCCGGCCCGGTGGCACACTCGGTAGAGTGTGGCGCATGGGAGTGCGGTGGCGCTCCAGCCAAGGGTTCGGATCCCATATGGAGACCGGTCCGCTCACTGGTTGAGCACGGTGCGGACGCGACGCCGAGGGTTGCGATCCCGTTGCCGGTCGCGGTGTGGGCGCGATCCTGAGGGTTGTGATCCCGTTACTGGTCACGAAAAAAGACAAAAAGCGAAAAAAAAAAAAAAGAAAAAAGAAAACCAGTGAGGAAATGTGTTCCAGAGAGGAATATTTTGACACTCCCTATTTCACATTTCTCTCTAACCATAAGACTCCTCCAGTCAGTGGCCCAGCTTCAGTCAATGTTGAGATATTGCTTTATTGACTACATTCCTGCTTTGCTCAATACAGGACACATATATGATTGAGTTTTCCATGTACGAATCTTTTTGTAATAAAATAAATCGTGTTCAGAAGCGCTGGAGGGGGCATCATGGGCGGGGTGATTCTAATGCATCTTTTTAATAGGAGGCTTCTGTTCAAATGCCATTTTTACCCTGATGGAAGCAAAATTTCTCAAGAATTTGGGGTTTAATCCAATTTTTAAAAAGTGTTCACCAGAAAAAAAAAAAAAAGAAAAATATGTACTTGAGCCATAGTCAGCTGCTGTAAGCATTGAAATTGCTCAGATGACAGCCAGACTGAAATATTTGGAATAGTACCAGCTTTGTTCCTTCACTCTCTTTAACATCTAAGGAATCAGATAGAGCAGCACAAATGAGAGTCAATTTCTTTTTAGTGATTGGAGGCTCCATAATTGAGTGATAGTGGCAACCTACTTGATGTTAAGATTCACATGGATTTCTTCCTCACTACTAAATGAGGATAATGATGAGACTTTCCCCCCCAGAGGTAATTATTCAGTATCTGTTATAGATTTTCTTTTTCTTTTCAGACAAACTTTAAAAAAAATAAATAAATGTGTATCTATGTTGCAGGCTATATTTCAAATTTTTGTCTTTTTTTTGTGACCGGCAACGGATCGCAACCCTCAGTGTCGCGCCCGTACTGGGACCGGCAACGGGATCGCAACCCTCGGTGTTGCGTCCGCACCTTGCTCAGCCAGTGAGCCGCCAGTCTGTATGTGGGATCTGAACCCTCGGCGGGAGCGGTGCTGCACTCCCAAGCGGCGCACTGTAGCAGTGCGCCACCGGGCCGGCCCCTAGATTTTCTTCTTTTTATAATATCTATGAATAAACCTGCATCAATCTTGTCTTTGAATCAGTATCTTGCTTTATCCCAGATCGGTTCCTGCCATTTGCCTGGGTTGTTTTGTATCTTGTCTTTTGGGGGGAAAAAAATACAGTGTGTAGCCTTGTTGGATGTGATTCCCTGTTCCTCCCCACAAGACACAGTAAAATGAGCAAAATACGCCAGGAAAAGCATGAAAATTGAACTCAGCAACAGCACCTTAATTGTATCACATTATCCCCTTTTTGTTGAAAATATATTTTTCTTATATTTCATTTTATTGTTAAAAGCAATGTGAAGATTAACACAATCTCTGATCATATTCCTTTGCATGGTCTAAATGTTTTACAAAATACCACATTCTTGATATGGCCATCTGTCAGAACGAATCAGTGTGAATTACAGAGGTGTTATTCCCTTCAAAAGGTTTTAATGTTTAATTAAAAACAAAGACAAGCACTGAAGTCCTTTATTTTTTATTTTATTTATTTTTTATTTTGTCAATATACAATGTAGTTAGTTATTGTGTCCCATCACCAAGACTGAAGTCCTTTAAAAGCCGTGTTGCTTGTTTTGTGTTTTCTCTAGATACATACCAATTGTGCATGTCTTTAAAAACTACACTGATGACACTGATGAAATCTTATTAGTAAATGTTCGGGAACATCAGCCAGTATCCTGGAGAAAAGAAATTCTAAAGCTCGTAGTTGACATTTTGCCTGTTCACGATATAGTTTCGAAAGAAAAAGCTGTCATATTAACCAACATTGTAAACCTGTCCTGCTTTAGAGAGAAATGCTTACACATTTGGAATTGGTGAATGAGCTTCTTTATCTCAGTGAGTTAAGGAGCTTGGGTGCACTTTTAGATTTTAAGAACTATTATGACAGTTCCCATTTGTGTGTTCTTGGACAGATCTTGGACAGATCCAATGATTTTCGTCTCTAAGTATAAGACTGTTTGGTTTGAACTGCCTAGAAATCACCTGAATAGGTATTAGTACAAGAAAGAATTCCATTAGGAACATGAAACTTTATTAAATAAATGCTATAGAGTAGTAGTGACAGAAATATATTTACATTTTTTCAAATGGAAATAAGGGTTTAGGCAAACCTGTAGTTCAGGACATGATTGAAACAAGATCATTTGAGAATGTGTACGTTAGGGTGTAATTAAATATGAAGCGTCTGAGGTGGTAATGGGAGTTACAGGAAACTCTCAGTGGTACAATTGTAAATTCTAGTTTTTTGACAAGTAAAGGACCATGAAAAGAGAAAGGAAAAACAGAGTCAAACGATGGTCTTTAAAATCCATAGCAACCATGACCTTTTTTGTGAAAGTTGAACTTGCCGCGCTTCCCAAGCGGGCGCACTATCCAGTGCGCCACCAGGCCGGCCCTAACTGTCCATTTCTTATCAGTCAAAAGTAAATTAAAATGAACTAAGAGAAAGAGCATACATTAAGCTTTGCAAAATTGTGAAATTAATATTTCAGCTACGTCACCTTCGCCTGCATCGGGATTGAGCAAGGGTGAGAGAGAGAGAGAAATCAGTTCCGCGAATTTTGGAGAATGTCAGAGTAAGGATCTGCTGAAAACTTGTGTTTCTCCATTATCATTCGTCCTGTCTGATGTTCCCATTGGTCTGGGGGCCTGTGGAGAAGTTCAGAAAAGGGAGGGAAGAGAAGAGTACCTTGAAGGGAAATGCTTTGGGGCTGTCGTTGACCAAGTGTAAACCAGAGACAAGATAAAACAAGAATGATGCACATGTCTTTGCCACATCTGCAAGTGTACTGTGTGTCCGTAGTCATGGAGAAACCAGGTTTCTCTGTAAACCTGGTCATTCCATTGTTTCTAATTATCGAAGGAAGTCTTTTGACTGCTTTATGGAGTTGTCACTGGCATTACCAAAATGAGGTGAACTGGTGAGGTTGTTGCCTACACGAGGGCTTAAAAATGAAAAAAAAAATTGTACAAGATTGTCTCAGCTCTATTTGATTTAGCCTCACCCAAAAAAAAAAAGTGATATTAATATCAGAAAAATGGCTCCATCTCACTGCCTCCTAAAAACTTAGCCTAATAAAATCTGCCTGAAGTAAAGAAGAGAACAAACCATTTTAGGGGAGTAGTTTAGAAACCTCATTGCCCTCTGAAAAAGTGGTGTCAATGGATACAGAGGAGAGAAATTTTAATTTAATTCAATTTAATCCCATAATATGTTCAGTACAGATTTATTGTCAAAGTTATATATTTGGGTAAATGGGTATTTAGTTGGTGGAAGATTTAAAATGTTAAAATGCTAAAATTAAAGCACCAAAAGACTTTCTTAGCAACAGGTCTGTGTGGAAGTGTTTGTGTCTTTGTTTGCTTGCTCATTGTTGGTGTCCTTTGTAGTGTCATTGGTGTCTTCCTTTTTAACAGAAAATTCTCTAAATAAATTTGCCGATTTCCCATTTATCCTCAGAAGGAAACAAATGCTTTTTTTCCCTGTGGACTGAACTATGTGATAAGCCTAAATCTGTTAGCCACAACCTCCCATACCATGATAGCTTACACCTAAATAAGCAACATAAGGTAGAAACTTGCTGCATTTGGTGTCACTGCAGGATGGGCAAATGTTCCTGTGTTAAATGATGCTGAGAAAAATGGATCTGGGCTGGAAGTCTCTGCAGAGGCCCTTTCGTTGTTCCCAGAAAGGCCACACACTCAGCAGACTTCAAACAAACTCTGCCAGGGACTTGGTGCTGGCTGGAAAGCACCAGTGGTCTATTTTGGTAATAATCCTCCCGCTTGAGTGAACCAAAGAGAGAGATACAACTGATTTAATTTGTTGTCTCAATGAGGCTATTACAGCAGATACCCTTTAACCAGCTACTTGAACAGAAAGAAAGTATTGTTTCCTTCTCATCCTCGAGAAAATATTATTCCCAAATTGTGTTTATGGGAGTCCTATGATGTAGCTTAGTTCTGTGTTCCATGATGTTTTGCAGCTTAGCCTCAGCAATTATAATAAAAAAGCGTCAGATGAAAAACCCATTTAAATCCATGGCATTAAGATAGCTCAAGCAAAAATATCAGATTTAGACTCCTCTGCCTTGTAGGTACCTGTTCATTTAGTTTCTTCTCTCTTAGCATGTTCATTCAGTATACATTTTCAGCTTGTGGGTGAGTCGCTAAAAAGGGACATCTTGTGCCAACTTGAAATCTAAATAACCTCCTTCTGCTTCCCAGTCCCATTGTACAAAATTGGAGAAGATAAGAATTAAATTCTCAGGCCTACATACTCCTTTAGCCCCAAATCCAGTTAATTGGATAAATCAGAAGTATACAGAATAGTTTTTGAAAACTTCCTTTAGGTTTCACTGTAACTGAATTACACTTTTTCTCTTTAAATAAAAGATGTCCTTTTATAGGCCATAAAACATCCTATGTATACATTAAAATATTAAATGAAAATTAAATAGAAATAACCCTTTTTAATACCTTAGTGAAATAATAGAGTGGTATATAGAACAATTTCACATACAATAAGCATTTTCTTATGGAAATTTATTTTTCTTTTTAAGAAAGAGGTTTCATTTTAAAGCCTGGGATTATTACTGAGTGTAAAATAACAAATTATTGGGTAATAAATTAATATTTATAATGTGGAAATATCATAGGCAAATTCTGGAGTAAAGCAGTCATTTTAGCAATGAGATAAGATTCATAAATATAGAACTTTTTTGTTGTCACCATTGATCTTGAGGATCTGGAAGGCTGGCTACTTTGGGGCAATAGTATTGAAATCACAGTAAACTTAGTATTTGGAAAGATTAGGATAATTTTTTGGCAAAAATGATGCAATAAATCAAATTATTAGCATTGCAAGTCTTAATTATTTTAAGAAAGAAAAAAGTGACTTAGAAATAAATTAGAAACTCTTTTTAACCCAAGCTGCTGTTTCTATTCATCTTCTAGTTGATGGTTCACTCTTTCAGGTGACTTAATGGGACTTCTAAGTCTTTAGTGCCAGCTGCTTCTTCGGAGGTTGTTGTAATTTAGCACGAGTCTTTTCTGAAACCTGGACATCTGTATATGGTGTGGCACATAATTTTAATTTACTTAGCTCCTCTTGCAGCAATACTGAGGGAAGCAGTTAATGCTGACTTCTGGCTTAGTTGGGGACCATGGCTTGGGCTTGTTGAGGAACTTATCAAACAGTGATTAGTCCTATGAAGAACTTTAAGGCTCAGTGGCTACTCTCACTGTTTACTTTTACCCAGTGTCCTCCGTTATTTCCCCTTTCAAATTTGTTTCTTTGCCTGTGTTGGAAAGCTTTCATCTATTCAAACACCATCAGTCTTGGTCCTGTAATTGTGTTCCTCTTTAGGGGTATAATGCCTTTTATCAGTGAAATAATCTCTCTTCCTTCTTCCCTCTCTGCAGTTCCCGATTACCAGGAACAGGACATCTTCCTCTGGAGGAAAGAGACTGGATTTGGATTTAGGATTCTGGGTGGAAATGAACCAGGGGAACCTGTAAGTCTTTTGTTTGCCTCTCTCCTCAGTGCTGTATTCTAAGACTTCAAAGCAAATTGGCGGCAGTGACAAATTACCCAGATTTGAGTCTAGCTAGATGCAACACTGACTCTTTCATCTTGAGCAGTGTTGGTGTTTCCTTGGATTTTGTGGGGGTCTTTTTGTCTTGAGGAAGAAGAGAATAGATCCTTTCTAAAAAATTTGTATTAGTATTTGTGAAAAGTGGCAGCTGCAACATCTGGAGACACACACTAAGGAAAAGGAAAATAGAAAGCAATATAGGAAAAGATATCAGCTAATAAAACAATGGTCTTATCCTTCTGGCCACTTCTGTTTCATCTGCCAGCAGATAGTGGACTTTGCATTTGACTAACAAATGTGCAGAGAGTACTTCACACAGCATTTATGAGAGATTAGAGAAAGTAGGATCCTGTCTTTACAAAAGTGGAGAAACAACCCTGAACAAGGGTCAGGAGACATTTAAACTCACTGGGCCTTAGTTTCCTCAGCTTTAGAGTAAATTTAGTATAACATCACAGGGTTCTTTTGACAGGAGAAAAGAGAATTAAAGACAAGTATTGTGAATTCACTTGCGATCATTCTAGCTGTTATTCATTGAGTGCTTTACTGTATGATAGGCACCATGTTAAATAAAGGCTTTTAACATACATTTTCTTATTTATCCATCAAAGCCATGAATTTAGCTCCAGTTTTCAAATCAGAATGTAAGGACACAGAAAAGTTAATTAACTTGCCCCAAGATCACAGAGCTAGTAAATGTAGGGACTGATAAGGGTCTGACTCCAGAGTCCATGTTCTTCACCGCTATTTGTGTCAAAGTTCTTTGTAAACTATGAATGCCATGTAAAGGTAATGGTAGCAGTATTATCTACCAGGAAGGCAAGGCAGGCACAAACATTTTAGCTCAAGTTTAGTGAATGGTGAACATAACAGCAGGACACTAAATATAAAAGATGCTCTGCTTTCAGGTGCTAAAAGACTGCTGAAATGGGGCTGTCAAACCAGACTTTACCTAATTTCTTCATTTATTTAACAATATTTATTGCACATTCCCTAGTGCTAGGCACAGTGCTGGACCCCTAAAGAAAGGTAATATTAATGTTAGCAGAGTTTCATGAAAGGAGTGTTCTTAAATAGGTAGGAAAGGAGAAAAGGTTTTACAGATGAGGGGAGTAAAGTGATTTATTTCTGCAAAGGGGAAAAGAAAGAGTGAACCATTAGAAGTCCACAGATAAACATCAAGGAACCAAGAAAGAAATAGTTATTCTTGCCACCATTTAAGAATTGTTCCAGCACCTAGCACAATGACTGGTACACACTGGGCACTCAATAAATGTTTGTGGCATACATGCAGACATTAATGAAGACATTGAATTGTTCCCGGGGATGTGAAGGCCATCGGTGTAGTAGTAAACCAAGAGGACAATGTTTCATTCATCATGCAATTACCCAACAGATTTATATTGGTCACATCGTACCACTGGGTGCTGCTGATACGGACGGCCGCCTGAGGTCTGGAGATGAATTAATTTGTGTGGATGGGACACCGGTAATTGGAAAATCACACCAACTTGTGGTCCAGCTTATGCAACAAGCCGCCAAGCAAGGCCATGTCAATCTTACAGTGCGTCGTAAAGTGGTATTTGCGGGTATGTTTTTCATTCATTCTTTCACACGGTGCATTGTCACTTTATGCACAGAAAAGCCCTCCTGCTTGTGTCTGCCTTCTCAAGCATCTATTTTAGCAAATGTTTGCAAATGTGATCAAGCTTAGAATTTCCAGATGGTTTGCTTCTCTCAAACACTGCAAAACTACTGTCATTCAAAAGTACTTTAATGGTTCATTTGTATATGTTCAGCAAAGGCCTCTAAGAAGGCAAGCTGAATTACATATTACCTCCCTGCTATCCCCTTGCCAACCAGAATTTAGCCATCTTCAGTTGATGATAATCCTCAAGAAAAGAGGTCATTACAAAAGTCAAAAGAGTTGTAGTTTCAAATAAAGAGAACAAAAATTAGGTTTGTGCTGCAAAATAAGCTCATAAGAAAGTGATATCTTACTGTATTATTGCCTATCATATACATGTGTGTGTGTGCGTGCATGTGTGTGTGTATATATAAAATGTGTGTTTATATATATATATAAAACCAAGATTTTTTTTTTTCCCTCTCTATAAGTAAGTTGTAGAGCTGGCCATTTCTAGGTCATCTTTGATTCCTTCCTTCTGCCTACAAGCTCCAAACCCTAGTTCTCAAAATACTACATATTCTTTCAGGCTCAGCTCAAATATAACCTTTGTCCCTTGGAAATTCCTTCCATACCATTCTTGTGAGTCCTGGTTTACTTCTGTATCAGAATCTGCCATTTTGAGTCAGTAGTTGTGTGAGGGTCTGTCCTTTCAGCTTCCTGAAAGCACAGTCTTTGTTCATCTTTGTATGTAGCCCCCACCGTGAAACCTTTAAGACAGAACCCAGAATGCAGAAGAGGCAGGTTGTGTTGTATCGACTGAATTACTGAAGAAATATGACATGAAATGTTATGAATTAGCCATAGCTTTAATAGTAGTGAAACAAATACCCATCAGATAAGATTAATTGGTACCTTGTTTAAAAAAAAAAAAAAGCTAGTATAACCCATTTAGAATGGTATATAATTAATTATAGAATGAAGATGTTAAATTCCATTGTGAGAGTCCTGCCTACTGCAGTCATGGAAAACAGTGTTTATCAGCCATAGATTATGTCCCTAGAATTCACGTATGGCCTCAAAATCCTTCTTAATAACATAGTATTCCATGCAGAAAAAGCAATCAGCTGGAATTGGTTTTTGAGATGAGATGCAAACTATTTGATTTCCCTGGCTCAAATAGAAATAATAAGGGAATGTGATCTTTTGTTTCAGGTTTTTTAAAATCTTAGATATTTTGGGTTTTTAGCTCTTTTGTAAAAGTATGCTAAGTGAAATAAACTAGTTGCAAAAGGACAAATCTTGTATGATTCCACTTACATGAGGTACCTAGAGTAGTCAAATCCATAGAGACAGAAAGCAGAATGGTGGTTGCCAGGGACTGGTGGGAGAGCGAAATGGGGAATTATTGTTTAATGGGTACAGAGTTTCATTTTGGGCAGATGACAAAATTCTGCAGATAGATGGTGATGATAGTGGCACAAGAATGCGAATGTACTTAATGCCCCTGAACTGTACACATAAAAATGGTCAAAATGGTAAAATTTATGTTGTGTGTATTTTTCCATTATTAAAAAAAATGTATGAAAGGAGAAGTTTGGGGTAATAAATATAGTCTTATCCAAAACCTGGACACAACACACATTTTGATTTTGGCATGGTTGGTCCCACCTAGTATATTGGCTATTTAGGAGTGCTTTACCCTGTCACCTGACAAAGCAGTAAAACTGGAATGGTGACTCAATTTGGAAGGAGGCTAATGTGTCCAGTTCTATGATTGGAGTAGAAACTGACATCTGGAAGCTAGGAAGAGAAGCTATGTCTACCTCTCACAGGTGTTGTCATGAATCCCACCTAATGGTACTGGCAATTTACAGTCTCTTGCCTGATACAAAAAGCAAAAGCTGGAGAGAAGTGTGACTCGAAGGTAATGACAATATGAATGTGCCACTGAGGTTGTATCTATGAAACACAGATGATGGTCCTCACCTACACTTAGTGTACATTTTCCTTTGCACAAAGGGAAATATTTCAGAGTGGGCTGATCTTGCTACAAACCTGAATCCGAGTGTAGACGTTGATCTACAGTGTGCTGTAAATGATACATGATTCACGAGTCCTGTTTGGTGCTTACCTGGGATCAATTTGGTGGATACCAGATAGTTAAGATTTGTCAAGAAAAGCTGCTTCCAATCCGCTGTGTCCTCCTCCTGTGAGGTCCGGTACCATCTTACCTTGATTTCTTGCAGGATGTGGAGCTGGGGAAGGACGAAGGGGTGGCAGGGAGCATTTTTGGGTGAGGTCAGGTGATTGAGACGAGCCCCTCTCTGTTACAGTCCCGAAAACAGAGAACGAGGTGCCGTCCCCGGCGTCCTCCCATCACAGCAGCACGCAGCCGGCCTCGCTGACCGAGGACAAGCGCACGCCGCAGGGCAGCCAGAACTCGCTGAACACGGTGAGCTCGGGCAGCGGCAGCACCAGCGGCATTGGCAGCGGCGGCGGCGGCGGCAGCGGCGTGGTCAGCGCCGTGGTGCAGCCCTACGACGTGGAGATCCGGCGTGGGGAGAGTGAAGGCTTCGGCTTCGTCATCGTGTCCTCGGTGAGCAGGCCCGAAGCAGGCACGACCTTTGGTGAGTGCTGAAAAGGCTTTTCCCCAGAGTGTCCTACCGTTCAGGGAGGGTTCTGCAAGGCAAAGACGGCCAAAATCTCATTAACAGAAATGCTTTAATGCTTTTCGCTTCGGGTAATTAAAGCCTTAATTGGGGATAGAGTTTATTTGGCAGCTTTTTTCCTTCTGAAGGTTGAGGATTTTTTTTTTTTTTTAACCCTTTTAGCTTTCGTTCTGAATGAGTGGTCTTGAATACACAACTTCAGGCATATGTGAGAGTTGCATGAAATTTGAATAGCAATCCCTTGACAGTGTAGACTGTCCAAAATTTTTTGCCAGAGGAAAGCCCTGAGTAGGATATCGTGAATAGCAATGGCCTCAGAAAGTCTTGAGTTTTTTAAAGGCACGTAAGATTGTAAAAATGCTTTAGGAAACAGAGGTGTAAGGAGCAAAAATACTACATGAGATGCTCTTCCTACCTCATCTGTGTCCTTTCTCTATCCACATCTGAATTTCTTTTTAATCTTAATTTTAAGTAATATTTTTACTGCTGCTTGATTACGAATTTGGTTAAAATCTGAGTTGAGAGTCATTTGATTTTCCTGTCTCATCCAGATGTTGAGGGTTTTAGTGAAGTGTAGAGAAACACAACTGTCAACCTCTCAGCAGGTTAACTCTCTTCTGGGTGCACTAGCAAAGACAAATAGGAACCCAGATGATTCCAGGAACTAGTAATCTATGAATCTGTTTCCCATTAGAATGGATTACAGATGGAGCACTCCAAAAAATGATCCACCTTCCTGATTAGATAAAAAGTCATTTGCTGTCTCCCAAACATGTTTGTTACTTAATCCGGAATATGACAGGAGTAGGGGAAGGGCTGTGCAGGCTTTGACATTTACCTCAGCTCTATCTCCAACTGACTTATTGACATGGACTCTATCCTAGGTCACTCGCTGGCTAAGAGCAGCAAATGCTATATCCCTTTAGCATTCTGACCGGTAGAACTCACTTTGCCTCTATCTGGTCTTGATATGTTGCTTTCTGCTAAGGCTGTCTTCCCCGTATGATTTATGTTCAGTAGGGGACAGTGACTCAGCCAGTGTTCAGTAGGGGACAGTGACTCAGTGACTCTATGCATGCATGGCTGCAGTAACAAATGCCCGTTTTACTAACAGTGCTTTTGTGAGCTGCGTTAATAAAGTTATCACAGCATGTCATGGATGGATGACCTGACATTAAGGCAGGATTTTTTTGTTTCTTAATTGGTTTCAGAGACTTTTCTGATTAATTTAAAAATAAAGAGAAAGGAAAAGGGGGAAAAGAAGTCCCCTTATTTTCTTGAGATCTACAATTTGACTGCTCCCATGTGGTGCTTTCATCTATTTCAGAATTTTCAGTTTTACTTTCTAGAAGGAAATGGCAGATAATTCAAGTGGCAGGCTATTTGTTATATAATGAATATTGAATGTTTTCACTCACAATTTGGTCTGTTTCCCTTTGGCTCTTACAATGAACAAATTAAACTTTCTCTAACACCTTGCATGAGACTTCTGAGCTGTGCAGAGCCTTCCTCATTCCTGCTGTTTGATACCTTTGTCATGTGAGTTGTCCTTAGACATGAGCTGCACTTAAATGAGACCTTAAATTTGAGTATGGAAGCTTTCCACCACACCTACCTGTCAGATTCCAGTAGACTGTTTACTTCCTTTTTAAAAATTATTTGACCTTGACATTACATCCAATGACACAAACTCAGGCAAATCGGCTGAAATTCAAAAGATATGAAGTGTATATTCCCACCCATTTTACCCTCAAGGTGCAAATTAGGACAGAGAGCCTGCTCAGTTAGTTTCAGTGTCTCCCATGTTAATTTTGTCACCCTTTCTAAAAGGTGACTCAACTGCATAACTCTCTTCATAGTCCCCAGAAAGACAAATTCTCAAAATAGATAAACATGCATAAGAAACTTTCAAACTCAGTATATGATTAGCCAGAGACCCTTATGTCAGGCCTCAAAGCCAATCTCACCTCTCTCTAGAAGTTGACACGGAGGAGATCAGAGTACACAATAAACCTTCCTCTTCAAATGCACTTTTCCTGTGGGTTTTTTTTTTTTTTTTCATGTTGTGGATGTGCAGTAATTGATGATGAAAAAAGAGATGATTAAAGGAAATGGGTTGAGGAATGATTTGAACCTAGCTTTGGATCAGTATCATCCTCAGCCTGAATAGGCAGAAGGCTTTCATATTTTTTAGAGGGGATTTTTGTGAAGCAGGAGGATGATTCCAGAACTAATGAGCCAGCTGGGCCTTACCCTGAAAGCACATGAGATGGGCTGATTGAGCAAAGGTCCTGAAAGGAAAAATAAGTGTCAGGGTTGGGTGTTTTCTTGGCTCATTTCTTGCAATTATGCCCTTTTTCCTAAAGCTTTTATCATTCTGGATGGAAGGCAGAAAGTCTAAGTGTTTGTCCATTAGGTGTTTTTATATCGAATTTTTGCTGCTAGCAGACTTTTATGCCTCACCAGACACCCAGTGATTATTTTTCTAAGTGAAGAAAGAACAAAATATTGGCAGAAGCTCAAACAACAGCTGGCAATAATGAAGTGATGTGAATATAGAATGAGTGAAAGCATCCATCCCAGCTCTGGGTTTCACATTTGCAGTCCCAGAATAAGTGAACGGCGAGTTATTTTTGGGCTCTTGAGAATCTTTGAGGTTGCCAGATATCACAAATTTTGTAATTGACTTAAGAAGGAAAGTTTGTTACTGCAGGAGAGGACTGCAGTAACAAACTATAGTTTCAGGATAGTAGCTTCTTATACAGGACACGCTGAATATTGCTGAATATTGCCAATGTTTTGACCATCGGCACAGAGCTCTCCTTTATAACATTTGCTTAATGCTTTAATTAATTAACACTTAACCTTCTCTTTCCTTTTTCAACCCTTTTTCTCCTCCCTTCACTATATCCCCACATAACTTTAAAAAAAAAAAAATTTAAACTCAATATCAAAGCAGGCAATGCATGTGTGGCTATGCCTCACAAAATAGGTCGGATTATTGAGGGGAGCCCTGCTGACCGCTGTGGCAAGCTGAAAGTAGGAGACCGGATCTTGGCAGTCAATGGATGTTCCATCACCAACAAATCCCATTCAGACATTGTCAACCTAATCAAGGAAGCGGGAAACACAGTTACCCTCCGCATCATTCCTGGGGATGGTAAAGTATAACTGTTATCTCTCTCTCTCTCTCTCTCTCTCTCTCTCTCTCTATTAGTGTTCATGTAATTAAATAGTGTTGATTTAGAGGCAGCTTTATCCATTCCTAACTAAACATACCCATCAAACAAATGTGAGCCATTGTTACTAAACTATACTGAACCCTCTTATTTAATTTCTCCTTTAGCCCTGTGACCCTGTCTTGCTGCCAATTAAAAAAAAAAAAGTTTCAGAAAATCTTCAACTTTCCCCAGTTTATTTTGTTTTTGGTATCCTTGTTTTCAAAACTGTTAAATTAGTTTTAATACAGGTGATAAAGATCCCCTGATGTTGACTCCAGAAACAATTTTTTATTTTTTAATACAGTCACCAAAATTTAAGTAGTATAGTGACATCACAAAACCCACATAATGACAATGCAGAGCCAATACTATGTTTTTTTCAGAATAACTGAGTGTGTCAACGTTTTTTATTTAGTGGGAGAGTCTTAGGATTTGTGCCTACTTGATTTGTTTCTAATTTTTGGATGTGGATGAAGAAAGAATTAAATCTCTGTTTTTTTGATAGATTACATCTATGTTAAACTAGGCCTATGCTTGTTTGTTTGTTTGTTTGTTTGTTTTACTTATTGGTAAATTCAAATCTTTGGTTCTTTTACACCAGTGATGATTTCCCCACCCCCATGGAGCATCTGGCATTGTCTGCAGTGGGTGCTAGTAGCACGTAGTGGGTAGAAGCCAGGGATGCTTCTAGACATCCTTCAAGTACTCAGACGAGCTCCTCACAATAAAAAGTTACCCAGCACAAAACATCAATGCTCCTTTTATTATTCATATTTAATAAGAATGAAGTTGGTACACTCATGTCAATAAGTGTAGAATCTTTAGAGAACGAAGTCAATATTCAGCTCTTAATTCTCTAAATTAACAATTGAGAGAATTAAGAAGTAAGTCCTGAATATTGACTTCATTCTAAGCCAACTTAGTCCTTGAGAGGACAGTGATACTTGTCCCTATATGGTTAAATGTCTTTTTTCTTTTTTTTTTTAATGTTTATTTATTTATTTATATTTTTTACATTCTGTGATGTTGTGGAGCAGTGGTGGGGAGGGGGATAGGGGAAAGGGGAAGAAAATAGGGTGGAAGAAGGAGGAGAGGCAGGGTTGAGGCCTGTGGCACCCCCCTCATTCCTGCATAGGAGACCAGGGGCCTTCCAGCAGTGGCTTGGTCATTGCTGGGCTGGATGCAGATGTCAGAGGGGTGTGGCTGAAGCCCTCACCCTCATTCTTGCTATACATGTTATAAAATAAAATGTATATTCTAAAAGTCAGTGAGTATTTCTCAAGAGGAAAGTGTGGTTTATAGAGATAGTGTGATAAAAATTCCATGCCATAGATCTGTAAAAGAAGAAAATCAGATTTTGTCTGAAAGTTACCACCAAATGAATATTTTTATATACTAATTGTTAGAAAGTAAGCCTTACAGTTCAGAATTGGAGTGGTGTAACCTGTGCTTTATAGAAAAAGTAAATGGAAAACTAAACAATAAATATTTGGAGATTGTTGATTCCAAGAACAGAGAACTTTCTTTGCACCAAAAATATCCCATACCAAATGTGGAGGAAAAATTAGTTCCTTGAGTGATGGTCTGCTTCACCCTCCTTCAAATGCACGGTTAGTAATTTGCCATCTGGTCTGGAGTCCATTCCACCAGTTCACCACTCTGAGAAGCTATTACAATTTAGAAAAGTGATCACAAGATGATAGAACATAGGTTCCTAATGGAAAGGATGAAGAAAGCCAGAAAAATAAACTGAGAAGTGGTTGAGAGAGCCAAATGTAGTATATAAATTTCGACACGTTTATCTACATGCCATGGAGAGATTTCAAAACACTAATCCGAGAGAAGTGGACACAGGCATTGACTTGCTGGGTCTGTATTGGTCAGCTTTAATGTGGGAATGAGAATGTCCAAAAAAGGCAGGAAGGAAAGAAAGCACTCCTTGAGGGAAGGGCTTAGAAAAAGAGCTTGAAATCAGGAAAGACTCAGATAGGCAGAAGTAACTTATACTACAGTGCACGTACTAGGTGTTGAGTTAATTTAATAAAGTACAATGGAAAATATATTTGGAAAACCTGAACACCAAAAAATATAATGCAAGGTGGATTATCCAATAACAGTTGGCAATAAAAAGGCATTTTTTATACTTTAATACTTAAAAAATATAAAAAGTAGGCAGACGTGCTACCTTGGTTACAAGAAAGTAAACAAAGCTGGTACAATATTATTTGGTTAAGGATCAATATCTTTTTAAGGCAGCATCTGTTCTATTGAGATTGTGATTTTATCCAAGGTATTTCAGGAGTTTTTCACTATGATAATAAAACTCTTACCAATTATTTTATACGTGTCAGAGGCCAAGAAAAGGGAATCAAATCTAGCAGAGGGTGAACACATGATGCTCATCTTTTAAAAGGAGCCAAAAATTGCCATCTTGTAAATTAGAGCTGAGGCAGGGGAGTGATATTTCTGGAGAGATGCTGGAGGATTTTGTAAACACCAGAAATCATGCTGGATCCACTTCCTCCCTGTGAAAGTATGTTGGGTGCAGTTGATTGTGGAGTAAGAGGGAGGTGCTGTCTCCAAGTTCGGGACCTCTGGTCTCCTTCAGAACTTTCACTGTAACACGGACTTCATCGAGTAGCCCAAGGACCGTTTGTTTCATGATATCTACAAGGAGGCAGAAGTTCTTAACTCAGAGTGGTTTCTAAGCTCTTAGAAATCCATCATGTCTGGGGTACTGTTCTTGGAAACCCTAAGGGGTACTTTAGGAAGATGCACTCTCATTTGGGCCGCTCTTGGAAGCCGCTCTTGGAATGAGGCAGCATGAGCTAGATAGTGGATTCAGAGGAATCCACTTCTTTATCTAGCTCATGCTGCCTCATTCCTTGCTCTTATCTGTTGCTTCATTCTTTCACTGTTTCATTCTTTCATTCATTTATCTTCATTTATCTCAGCCCCCATTTCTCTATTACTTCTCCAGCAACTCCAAAACATGGCTCCCCTTCATCTGGTATTAGCATGCTGTGAGAAGGCTTACCTTCACAGATCTTGATTAGGCCAAAATTGGGGGAGTCCTTACGCTCTCAGCTTTTACTATCTTTGGAGCCAGGGTGGGAGGTGGGGTGAAGACAGAACATTTTCTCCTGTGACATATGGGCAAGGGATCATAAATATATAATGGCAGTGCAGAAAGGCCCAGAGAATAGCTGAACATACTGAATCTGAACTTAAAATTTGACAAGTCAAGCCACACTTGAATTGTATGGAAATGCCCCATGAAATCTGGGTGGGAGAGACTTTAATCAGACAGGGCAGAACCTCACTGAACCACATTAACATGGAACCATCACACTGAATCAAGTTCAAGGTAATGAAAATATTTATGAGCATAAAAATATATTATTTAAATCATGGTCTTAAATTTGTACTTCGGATCACTCTGATTCAGAGTATTTGCTTATATAGGAGGTGGAGCTTGGCAACGCAGATATTGATTTTTTTTTTTTTCTTTCCTTTTTGTCTTTTTTCGTGTCCGGCAACGGACCACAACCCTCAGTGTCGCGCCCGTACCGGACCGGGACCGGCAATGGGATCGCAACCCTCGGTGCTGCGCCCGCCCCTCGCTGCTGCGCCCGCCCCTCGCTCAGCCAGTGAGCGGGAACCGGTCTGTATGTGGGATCCAAACCCTCGGCGGGAGCACCACCGCGCTCTCAAGCGGCGCACTGTAGCAGTGTGCCACCGGGCCGGCCCCAGATATTGATTTTTTGTTTGTTTGTTTGGCAAAGGCATCTCCCAAAACTTTTCAAATATTTATGGGATTCAAATTTTCTAAAGCTGCCCTCAGATATTTATTAGATATGTGTTTATGCATTAAAATATTTATGAAAGGAATGATTATATCCTTTTTGATTTGCTTGGCTTTTCAATGTGGGTTTCATAAGGGAGACTAAGGATATTAACATGGGATCCAGGTTAGAATTGTAATCACTTGTCACAGAGATAGGTTGAAACCCAAGATAGAAGCTCCTGTCAGAAGAGTAAGTGCCGTGATTTAGAACAGTCCTGTGACAGTGCCACGAAAGCTATGATATGCTTTTCTCGATACACGATTGCTATGGAAAGTGTAGTAATATCCATTTGCACTTCTCTCGGTGAGCTAAAGTAAGTGTAAATGCTGTTTCATACAGGAGGTACGGTACTTTCTGGAATTTGTCATAAAAATATCCAATCCATCTATCTGCCTTGAGTTTTAAAAGTTAAATACTTTGACACCTCTTTCTAACACTGCTGCTGGAGGGCAGAGAGACTCATATTCTTGTTTCAAGCCCTTGTTTTATATTCTTTTCTATTACGTGAGCAAATTTTGCTTTGGGATAGAGCTATAAATTTTCAATAATGGGCTTCATCTCTATATCTTAAAAAGCTAGAGAGCATTTTAGCAGACACAGTCTTGATTTAATTCCAATTGAAGACTTAAGAGTTCATTAAAACAAGTATAACTTTATTGGTATAAAAGCATCCTGGAAATCTAAGGTATGCTAAAAATTATTTTGGTTCTCTGAAGATGGCCCATGAAATCTAGCAGTTAGAGCAGGATATTTTGTATTTTAATTAATCTACAATACCGCTTAGTGAAGTTGCTGGTATTTGTGCAGTAAAACAAAAACATTGCTTATTTGAAAAGAATGTACCAATTAGATATGATTTCCTTGATACACATAATTCCAATGTCAACAGAATAAGACTAAAAGTTAACTGTCAGGCAGGCCCTGGGTTTAATTCCGAACACCTCCACTTGATACACCTGGGTGACTTTTGAGCATGTTTTCTACCTTTTCTATGCCTCAGTGTCTCTATATGTAAACTGAGGGCAATAATTACACTTACTTTATTGAGTGGTAAGAATCAAATGAAGTAATAATGCGTGTGGTAGTGAACTGAGCACAGTGCTTGGCACATTATAAATGATCAGTAAATGGTGGTTTCTCATAGATTAAGAAAAAAAGTGAACAGAGGAAAATTCAGCAAGCTCAAATAGACGTTTGCATATTAATTGTTGTTTTTAAAAATGCTTAATGTTAAGCTTCAACCCGAAAAGGATTTGCATATAAATATAAATGGGAAAAATAACAAATGAAGGATAGGAGGAAAATTAAGAAATTCTATTTATATGTATATTGAGTGGTTATCTGTTATAGCTCATCAAATCATGAAAGCAACAGAAATATAAAAATTGTTTTGAGAATGGAATCTGATTTGCCTAGAATACTCCAGCTACCAACAACACTCAAGAACTCTAACGGGGAACTTCTGCACTATTCAATAATTACAATCACTTTAATTACAAGGAAACATTCTTTTTAGTATCCTGATTATGATTTCCCCATGGCCTGAATAATCTTGTGATTTCCCAGAGCGTCTCCATAAAATTAATTACAGTGAGCAATATTAAGTTTGTTAAAGTACCAATACATGTGTTTATGAAATTCTGGTGAGTCACATTGACAGGCTTTGCAGTCTGTTTGTCCTGTGCGCTGACACTGACACAGTGGGTGTACTTTTTTTTTTTTTTTTGTAAATATCACTTGGATTCATTACCTTGGTTCTGCCAGTTAACTGCCCTTGGATGGAAGTGATATGAAGGAGCTAGTGTCCTTCCAAAGGTTTTTAAAAAACCTCTCATTTATATTATAATAGCAATCATAAAGTGCACTAATAATACACTTGAATATTATGATAACAATAAATACATGCTACAAAAAAATGCTTACCATTTTTGAGCAGTTTTTACATGCCAGACACTATTCTAGACACTTTCTTCTTGGGTAACCTTTGCACCAATCTCCTTAGATATGTTTGTTGTCCCCTGGGAACAGATGAGGAAACTGAGGCACTGGAAGTTTAAGTAACTTTGCTTACATCCCAGTTAATTTGCAGAGCCTAGGCTGCAAAGGCAGAGAGTCTGACTCTAGAATCTGGCCTCTTAACCTTTATGCTAAACTGCCTCCCAATAAGGTTGGGAAGCACCACCCCCCTGACCTGGAGGGTCACAAGGCATATTGGCATAGTAAAGGCTCTGAGGAGTCCGCAAGAGAAACACACAGACACACAAAAACATGTTCCTTTGTTTCACCCATTATTTCCCAAACTTAATTGACCATAGGTTCTTTTCCCTCAGAATCTGTAGAAACATGTAGTAAAACAGATTATGGGAGACACTGTCCTTAAAGTATGAATAGAATTCACATAATGATTCACTTGATGTAGTTACATTTTCTTATTAATCTGTGCCTTAGCTGTAAAAATAATGGGCTTTTGTGGCTGAAATATAAACCGTTAAAATCATATTTCAACTTTCTCATTTCTCTTTTGGAGAGAGTTTAAATAACATAGACAAGTTCCCATAGTAATAAGAAAAAGCAGTGGCAGTAGCCAGGGCCATAGCTGCAGCAAATGTGTATTGAGTGTTATTCTATGTCAGGTACTGTACTAAACATTTCATATGCTTTCATCCATGAGAAGGGAATTATTGTCGTCATTCCCTTTTATCTGATGAGAAAAATAAAGCACACATCTAATGAGTAGGGAAAAAGGAGATTTGAACCCAGGTCTGAATCTTAAGCCCATGCTTTTAACTACTATGTGTGCTGAAATTAAAATAACAGGAAACCAGACCCAAGCTGAGTAATATCTTTAGGTACTTAAAATGGGCCATAAGTAGTTGGGATTTGTGGGATGTCTTTTGTCTCAGGACTGCAGTGGAGAGGGATGTATTCCGGGTGTTCTAGTTTGGACTAAAAACCTTGTTATACCTTATGGGTAGATTCACAGGTAGTTCAAAAAGTTTGTGGAAAAACAGAATTAAAAGATCATGTGAATATTTCCGTGAACTTTTTTTGTTCTTAATATCTTTAGGTACTTAAAATGGGCCATAAGTAGTTGGGATTTGTGGGATGTCTTTTGTCCCAGGACTGCAGTGGAGAGGGATGTATTCCGGGTGTTCTAGTTTGGACTAAAAACCTTGTTATACCTTATGGGTAGATTCACAGGTAGTTCAAAATGTTTGTGGAAAAACAGAATTAAAAGATCATGTGAATATTTCCGTGAACTTTTTTTGTTCTTAAATAGGGCATCACATTATTCCATAAAATAGAATTGAAGATCCCTCATATATGTATTCAACAAACATTAGAGTACCTACTTTGAACCATAGAACTCACGGAAATTTATAGATTTTGTGGTACGCTGTGAATTAAATCAGCATTTGTAGGCTAATCTTAGAACCTAACCACCACATTTAAAATTTTCTTGATAAGAAAATGTATGCTAAATTTCAAACAGTCAACCTAAAAATAAATATTAAAAGTACAACTTGCTCACAGTTGTTACCTGCCTTGATCTTAATGGCAAAATAATTAGTAAAAGAACATATAACTGTTACTATATGAATGATTAAGTTTTAATACATGCATGTTGGTGTACAGTCTATTGTTATACTCATGAGTATTTCAAATTCTGGGCCTCCAAACTTCTAGAGATTAATGAAGTTGCTTTTGAATGTGATTAGTGAAGAAGAAAGTCAATTTACATAGGAACATAATCATTCATTACATATGGTGGCTTCATGATTTATACAACTTATATTTACAAACTGGTTGTAACTAATGCAAGTTTAAAAATTAATCTTTCGTGAATGAAACTAGACGAGATCTGTGACGACTTTCATGTTTTCAGTTGTGCTTCATTAAAAGCAGTGGGGAAAAAAGTGGATATTATGTGCGTATGTTTAACAAGATGTTTAGCACACGTAGGATTTTAATATTCACAAGAGGAAATCAAGCAGACTCACTAAACATTGCTGATAAATTGCAGGAAATGTTAGCAGAGACATTTATTATCAGCCTATAAAATCCTGGAAAATAATTCTGCTGTGGTATGACGTTTTGATGGAACTGCTGTTTTTCAGTGGCAAGGGAGGAATGAGAGACACCTGCCTGGACTACAATTTGAGAGCAGTGTTTTCTTTGGCAAAGTCTTTATTTCATTTGTGGGAATTTCTGGTTGGGAGGAAGGCCATGGGGGCATACACACATGGCCCACATCAGAGAAGATCTTAGGATGGTTCATTAAACTCGTAATTGTTTAGAAAGTCAAGTGAAACTGTTTGAAATGGTGACAGAGAAGTCAAACTTGTCGTTCAGACACAGGGCTTCTGCACACCTCCTAGCTGGACAATGTCTTCTCTAGGGCCTTCATTTCTTTATGCTCTGCTCCTCCCTGCAGAGTCCTCGAATGCCACCTTGCTGACCAACGCAGAGAAGATTGCCACCATCACCACCACACACACCCCTTCTCAGCAAGGGGCCCAGGAGACAAGGTCAGACGTGGCTTTTGTTTCTTTTGTTAGTTTTCAAGGGGGAAAAGGAACTCTGGGCATGACAATACATGTCTTTGATTCTTTTTCAGTTTCCCTGTTGGTTGCTCTTACATTTATTTCTCTCACTTTGGCAGGAATACCACCAAACCAAAGCAGGAATCTCAGTTTGAGTTCAAAGCACCCCAGGCCACACAGGTGAGGGCCGTTTCTTTCTTTTCTCTGTGTACTTTGCACATGTCCTTCCAACTTTCTGAAGCTATTTTTACAAGGTATTTTTATAAAGGCACCCTTAATTTAAAATAAATAAGCTTTTGTGAGATGATTTACCAAATATGTACTCATGTCTGATTGTCTGGGAAGTAACATTTTATTTTACTACCTTTGAAAAATATTCTAGATACTCTGTTCTAATGTAAAAAAAAGAAAAGAAAAGCCTTAATTGTTACAAGTATTGGCGATCAGAGAAGGAGCAGAGTAGCTAATTCTCATGTCTGATTGTCTGGGAAGTAACATTTTATTTTACTACCTTTGAAAAATATTCTAGATGCTCTGTTCTAATGTAAAAAAAAGAAAAGAAAAGCCTTAATTGTTACAAGTATTGGCGATCAGAGAAGGAGCAGAGTAGCTAATGTATTCATAAATGTGTTTCTGCAAGGAGAATGTCTCTTTAATAAGGTGTTTCTCAGGCTTGTGAATTTCACGAGACCCATAAAGCCTATCCCTCAGGATAGTAATTGAGGGTGCAGAAATCATAGCAGGTGAAACAAATTTGGGCAACACTGGGTGATACAAAGTTAAATAGGTTCCTTTTTTTTACTGGCTGCCTTAGAGCCTTCAGTAGTTCATTCATAATTCTCCTCGACCAGGATGGGAACCATTCCCAGAAGTGTAGAGGTGCTTGTTGGTATCCTAATGATGGCCACTGCTAGCATGTATGTTGCATGGGTCAGGGGCCTGAATATCCAGCAATGAATGGGGTGGTATCATATATGAGGAGTTTTCCTGTCCCAAACGCGAGTTGCAGTCTCACTGATGAAATTTTAATACATGGATTTGTATTAAATACATGCATGTATATAGGCATGCTCATGAATGTTTTCAAATTCTGGATCTCCAACTTCTGAGACTAATGAAGATTAATGAAAATGATTAATAAACAATTGCGAGTCACCAAGAGGGGGATAAAGACTGTGCCTTTTTGTCCAATCGAAAAATAATGTTTGGGAAGAGATGGAAAGAAATGTATGTGGATATCAGTTCTACCAGAATGACTGCATTTAATTTGTTTAAATAGGAGCAAGACTTTTACACTGTGGAACTGGAAAGAGGAGCCAAGGGATTTGGCTTTAGTCTTCGAGGAGGCCGAGAGTATAACATGGACCTCTATGTTCTACGCTTAGCAGAGGATGGTCCTGCAGAAAGGTGTGGAAAGATGAGGGTGAGTAGGGAGAGGAGTCTGGAATAGATGTAAATAAGCCCTCTGCATTGACTTCTTGACTTATGTAGTTGCAATGTTCACGTAAATTACATTTTCTATAGCTTTCAAGACGCACTAAATGCATAACTCCCACCCTACCATATATTTCTCCCTAAAGCATAGTTTGTTGGAGCTGCTTAAGTTAGGTATGCCCTTCCAAGTCATGGGGGTTGAATGAAGGAATTAAAATTACTTATAAATATATTAAAGTAGATTATTTTCTGAATCTCATTTCCATAGTTGTTGTGCTTAACTCATGAGGCAGGCACATCACTTCACAGGAATTCCTGGGTACCCCAGGATACTTACAGAACCATGTGACCCCACAGATTCTGGGTGGCAAGCTCCATTCATTCTCTAGCCGATCACCAGCTGTCTTACCCTAGGTGCAGAGAGAGCACATCGACTCTGCCTCAGCAAAAGGCCAGCGGCTCCATGGTCTGAACATTCAGAGTTGCTCTAAAGCCATCAAAGCTGAAAATTTTAAATGTACAAATGCCAGAAGTCCATGCTGCTCTGTTCCACTGTCTAATATCTGTTATTATGGATGAATGTGTTTCTCTCCTGGGCAGATGAGATGATTAAGAAAAGATCATTCATCTACTCACTATAGATAGGTCACACAGATTGAGACATGCACATGTGACAGCCATTTGCAACAAATTAAAAGAAATTAAGACAGATCAGGAAAGGGAAAAAATGAATGAAATTGAGCCTGAGCAGAAAAAGAAAAAAACTGATCAAGGGTGAGGAATATAATACTTACATTTAAGCCATAATTTTGATTTTTAAGTTCTTTCAGACTGAATTTTTTTTTTTTTTTTTTGCAAATTGTTGACCAACAAATTTATTTATTTAGTTAGTTACATTTTTTTCTTTATTAGCATATTCAGTTTTACAAATTGTGATATTTCTTTTTGCCCTTTACCTGATCTATCACTTCTCAAACCCCCTCCCTGCCTACCCACTATCTCTAGTATCCTTAGGTTCTCTCCTCAGACTGAGTTTTTTAATGCTTTTTTTTAAAACTGAGAAAGCAGACTGTGTGTGTGGTTTAAGAAAATTAAGCACTGAAAAATGGTACATAATAAAAATGCAGTTTCTAGGGTCAAACAGTATACTAGTTTCTTGTATATCTTTCTTTCCTTTTGCATATACATGCACAATTTGTTCATATAAAAGGGAAGATATTCAGTGGTATATATTCTTTTTGTTTGAATTTCAAACATATGGAGTCTGCTTCTCTTGGTCTTTAATCACTTTAAAAAGTTTCTGATTGAATGAAATATCGTTATCATGATATTTACTATAATTGTGCATAGTTCCCAAGACACGTTTACCTGTATTATCCAATTTGATCCCTGCAGCTTGGTAGACATGGGTTTTGTTATCATCCCGTTCTACAGATGAGAAAGTGGACTCCATGAAATTAAAGGACTTGAGCAATATCACTTCATTAACAAGTGATCAAATTCCAATTCAGGGTTTTAGACTCTAAATCCAGTGCTTTTCCTCTTCTTCCTCCTAGAATATAAGGTTCATGCAAAAAGGGATCTGGCCTGTCTTGTTCACTTCTTTGTCTCGAGTGACTAGAATAGTGGCTGACACAGAGTAGATGCTGCTATGAATGTGTCAACCATGGTCTCATCTGAAGGCTCATCTGGGGATGGGTTTGCTTCTAAGCTCACTTACATGGTTGTTATCAGGATTCAGTTCCTGTTGAACTGGGGGCTGCAGCTCTCCCTCATTTCCTTGTCATGGGACTCCACAGGGCAGCTCACAACATGCATCAGAGTGAATAAGTGAGAGAACACAAGAGGGAAAGTAAGACAGAAGCCAAAATTGTTTTGTAGTCTAATCTTTGCACTGACATCTTATCATGTTTGCTATATTCTGTTTGTTAGAAGCAAGTCCAGCATACATTCAAAGGGAAAGAGATTACACAGGATGTGACTGCAAGGAGGTGGAGGTCATTGCGGCCACCCTGGAAGCACCTACCCCTCCCTCCTTCCCTCAAAAATTAATGTTCCCCTTTCTGCTTAATTTTTTTTTTCCTTAGCACTTACCACTATTTGGCATCTGTGTATTTTTCTGATTTTTCTTGTTAATTGTCTTTCCCGCATTAAAATGTAATCTCCATGAGGGCAGGGATTTCTGTTTGTTTTTTTTCATTGCATCCCAAGCCACACATTTTCTGGAACATGTTTAATACTTATTGGGTGAATCAGTCAATGAATTTTCCATCTCACTTTGTTGTCTCTTGCTTTGGCAGATTGGTGATGAAATTTTAGAGATCAATGGCGAGACCACCAAAAACATGAAGCATTCTCGGGCTATAGAACTGATTAAGAATGGTGGCCGCAGAGTGCGTCTGTTTCTGAAGCGGGGAGACGGCTCAGTACCAGAATATGGTGGGTCAAACTATGAAAACATTCCTTCCTTCCCTGGCATGACTCCATGAATTTGTCTCCAGAACGGCAGCAGGAAAGTCTTTTTTGTTCCCCCCGTTCACCAGTGTCTTACCAGCCTCTCGTACCATGTGATTATTTGCCTCGCTTGTCCTGAAATCTCTACACATTTCATCCTTTTGCTTGCTTATGTGGACTGGGGCATGGCTAAGACAAGATCTTTGTAGCCCCCTTTCTGATAATCAGAGAGAACATTTTGTCTAGTCCGACCAAGAGCGAAGGAATGTTTGTTTGAACTGTGCCAAACTGTTTCTCAGATCCAATTGTTAGCACAAAATGACTATATACTCCTTTTAAGAAGCAGGAAAGCAGGTTTCCTGAGTGATATGTTGAGGCACAATTTTTTTTTTTTTTTGGTTACTTGATGTTTTTATTTAAGAGGCGTGAAATTTTGAGATGATTTGGGGGCTTTGTTCACCTCCTTTATGCTCTGTATACAACAGTTCTCCATCCCCCCACTGGTCTGTTACCCCAAATCAGAACGCCTGAGCCCACTACTATAAAACAAAAACTGTTGATATAGTAGCCATATGTTTTTAAATGATAAAGGATGAAAGAGATTCCCAGTGCTCATCACCCCACTGGTCTGTTACCCCAAATCAGAACGCCTGAGCCCACTACTATAAAACAAAAACTGTCGATATAGTAGCCATATGTTTTTAAATGATAAAGGATGAAAGAGATTCCCAGTGCTCATCATTGAGGGAAACATGTTTCTATACCTTTCCTATGAGGAAAGCCAGGTTATACATAGAATTCCTTTGTCATATCTTTAGACATGATTTGAGTAGATGGCAATGATCTTTGCATAGCTTAGTGTTCTGATGGCAAAATATTGTATATTATAATACTGTCCTGTTTATTTGAGATTCTTGTTTAAAATTTAAAAAATAAATAAAAAAGCTATGCCCTAGATGTAGGGCTTTTTTTCCCAACCAAAGGTCTACAAAAGTTTCTATAGAAACTGTGATTGAATGTTCCCCATATACATTGGTCCCCTTTATTAGGGATTTATCTGTTATCACCCTTTTTTTCTGGAAGTTGTTCTGCACAATTCCCAATTGCATTTTGGACTGGATGAGATGCTTCATTCAGATGCAGCTCAAGGAGAAGGATAGCTCCTTTGAAGGGCAGCCTTCCCAGGTGTTGGACATTGTACAGGTGCAAAATATGAGGGGTCCAAGGTGGGGGGAGGGTGAGTATCAGACAAGGCCCCTTTAGACATGGCCAACCACAGGGGAAGTATTTTGACAACATTAGGATACCATGGTTGTGCACTGTACTAAACTTCTGACCACTAGGTGTTATCAATGCCACTGAAACTGTGTAACATTGTCTCCCTTCTGTCTTCCCTATGCTTCTGTTGGATGTGATATTTCATTTGAGAGTCATCGTCAGTAACCTGTGTACCTTCTCAAAACCTATGTCTGTTGCACTGAGGATGAAAATCCAACACTAACAAATGTTCTTTGGGCTAAAAATAAAGATCATTTAAATACACGGTTTTCCAAGAAGGGTTGAACATGCCAGGGTCGTGCTGCTGTAATGTCTCCATGCGTCATTTGGACTAAATCTCTCTAATTCTATTGATTAGAGTTGCAAATGGGTTATAATATGTTAAGTTCCAATATTTTTCTTAACTTGATTGGAACCTGCTTCTCTGTGAGGCTATTTTTGTAATGAGTTTTTTGTACTTAATTTACCTGCCGCGGTTTCGGGGGGATGGGAGGGGCCTTTGTTCTTCTGTTGTTTATTGTTAATGCTCTCCTATGCCAGCCTGTCATTGTTCCAGTTGTTTGAAAAAACAAAACAAACAAACACAAAAAAGGATGCATCTATTGTCTGGGTTCTCGAGTCACCTTATGGCTGTCTAAAAACGTCACTGTTCCGATTGCGGTCTCTGCAGCCTTATTTGAGTGTTGCCTTAGACTGTCTGACTGGACAAATAAACTCTCTTTGCCCTATGTTAACAAATGCAGATTTTTTTTCTTTTCTCTTTGTTATAGGGAATCTAAACGTTCAACTTTTTCTCTTTCTCTCTTTCTCTTTCTCTCTGACTGTTCTTGGTGCTGGGCCCTCCCTTCTACAGCGATGATACCTCCTAATATCGCTGCATGTATGAGAAATGAAAAGCTCGGGGAGGCTTGCTTCTACCTTATGGGCCATAATCAAACTACGGTTTGTAGCTCAATCAATACTAGGTGTTTCTGTGCTGTGGCCTAATTTCCTCATTGCTTCTGCTTAGCTCTATTTTGATATGTTTGGCAATTCATTCTGAGCACCCTGCGTTCTTTGAATTGTAAGTACACCACTGACCCTGTTAAATGTTGCTCTCCCTTATCTTAAAAGTAGGCCTAAGAATCCAAGGTTAGATTTACAATAGTGATCTAAGTACCTTCCCTCACCCAGATCTGCAAATGACTTTTGTTAGGAACCTGTGTTCATTCTAGTAGCCTACTCAGCCATCCCTTAGAAAGAATGAACCTTGCTTATATCACAGAGCTCTCACTTAGGTAGATAGGGCCTTGCAAGATAGTGAGATGATGAGATTTCCTGGTTGGTCCGGTATCTCTTAGCAAACTGCAGCCCATGGGCCAAATCCTGTCCACAGCCTGTTTTTGTGAGTAAAGTTTTATTGGCACATAGCCACACCTGTTTCTTTTATGTGTTGTCTTTGTCTGCTTTTGCACTACAATGGCAAAGTTAAATAGTTGCAAGAAACACTGTGTGGCCTGCAAAGCCCAAATATTTACTATCTGGCCCTTTAGAAAAAGCTTACTGATCCCCTACTCTAGGCAATATTCCTCTTTTGTTAAAACCCACCTAGGTTTTGGGAGCTCATTCATGAAACAGATTAATTGCTTAATATTAACCTTGATGCCTCATGAAGGATCCTTAAAGAGCTCTAGTGATTCATTCCTTCATCTCTGACTGTCAAACGGGTCCTCCCTCCACACTGCAGCACATCATTTCAGGCACCTTACCTGGAATGGTATAATGTGTATAACTTGTTGGATTCAGTTGCAACAAAGCATCCCTGCTTTGAAAAGAGCTCCCATAAATTCAGGACGCTGCCTAAAACATTTGCAGTGTCGTTTCAAATAGTTTAATAATAATAAGTAGCAGTCATCATGGACTGCTCTGCTTTTAAGTCTGTAAATATCTTGATGCTATATGAAGCAGTCTGGTGACTCCATAGCTCCTAGATGTCATCAAGACTGCTTCATATGACACAAGGAAAAGTGTCTCTAAACATGAAGATTTTATCTGAGCCACATCTAGTTTCAAATGTGTACCTAACAACCTCTCTTCCCCTCCCTTTGATCTGTTAGTAAACTCCACATTTTCAAACCAGTTCCTTATTCTTAAATTTACACAAAAGTGAGAAAATAGTTGAATAACACGCACATAGATAGAGAGAATAGTTTAATGGACCCTCACGTACATGTCATAGTTGCTGACGATCATAACCCTCTGGCCAACGTGTTGCCTTCATAATCTCCTTTGCCCACCACAATGGATTCTTTCTTACAACAGAAGTATACCTTGCATATGGTAAAATGCATAAATCCTAAGTGTACAGTGCGGTGGATTTTCCACCTGTCCAGGTACCCGTTTAATGACCACCCAGACAAGATGTAGACCATTTCCATTCCCTAGAAAGCTGTCCTCATGCCCTTCTAGGTCAATACCCCAGATTATGTTTAAGCAGAACAAAACAAGTATTCTTTAAAGAAAAGAGTATTTTCTTTCTTGGGGGCAGGGGAGTGGTGGGCACAGGGAGAAGGATTAGTGGGTGGGGAGAGAACAGCAAGGAATGGCTGAGTTGGGGAAGTTTTGATACTTGTAGAGAGACTATTTGGGTTGTGCCTTTAAAGAACAAAAGTTCTTTAATGATCTATGTATGTGTTGAGAGAACAGTCAGCTAGATGCCGAAAGCCACAAGTACTAGTTTTTAACCCTAACTAGTTGCAGTTCTACTGAAATTAACCAAGATCCAGTTGGCTGTGGTCCTGAGTGCTGTCACAGTTGTTTGCTTGTTGTGACTAATGAGGTCTTAGGTGTGGGTGGGAGCGGGGGCCAGGAGCCGAAGGTCCTTGTACCAAACTGTTGCTCTCGTGTTTTGTCCTCGCAGACCCCGGCAGCGACCGGCACGGCCCCCCCACCTGTCCACCAGGTGTTCCGGAAGTGAGGGCCGGGCCCCCCGAGCGGCGGCCACGTACGGCCCTGGAGCCCAGCTACCCTCCCGACCTTCACAGCTCATCACTCCACGGGGAAAAGCGCGCACACGCGAGACACGCAAAAGGCAGCAGGGAGCACGGCAGACAACCCAACGAACACCACACCTGGAAACACCTTCTGTGTTGTGTTGTCTGATTTGAGGCTAAACAGTAGATGGATTGGGAGACAAGTTGTTTGGTTTGAGGGAGATACAAGATCCCCAGTACGAAAAGTATGTTCCCCCTTTTGAGCATAAGCCCATGATTGCCTTTTGCCAAATTGGGGAGGAGGGAATGAGCCTTGGTGGAAAGAACCTCTCTGTTGATATTTAAAGAAGTGAGGGTTGACAGTGCTCATTCTTAGAAATGCTGATTTCACTTTGAAACCATAATCAAAGATTGATTGAAAGGGAGAAAAGGAAGCGATCCCAGTGGTTATAGATCTGATTGGGAAGCCTCTGCCCTCATAACCCTGTCCCTTGAGTCTTTGGACAGCAGCACAAAACATAATGATTTTTCTTTCAAAGAAGACCCATTTTTTCCTGTCCCACAGGAGGTGTGGTTGGGTCGGCTGTAGCCCCAGGATGTGGTTTAAATGGATTACTGCCTAGCTGAGCCAAAACGTTTGCTTGTACTTGTTGGACCACTACGGCAAACTGCTGCTTATAGTGCATTGTGTATTTCCATAGTACTGTTTTGCATTTTCCATACAGACACAAAACTTTGCAAGTCAATCACTGTTGTTCCCATGGTACTGTAAAAAAAAAGAAAAAAAGAGAAAACCAGCCAATCATCGTGTGTACAGAGTTAAAAACTGTAATTAATAGAGCCTGTTTTCCATACAGACACAAAACTTTGCAAGTCAATCACTGTTGTTCCCATGGTACTGTAAAAAAAAGAAAAAAAGAGAAAACCAGCCAATCATCGTGTGTACAGAGTTAAAAACTGTAATTAATAGAGCCTGTTTAAAAAAAAAACAAAAAACTGTTGCCTTCTTTCTTGTATAAAAGAGAATTTATGATAAAAATTTAGCTGTGAGGAATGTGATGTGTTTATATTTCTGAATATGGAACAAATTGGTTCACGGGGATATATTTTAATGTAAACTAAATCAGGTATGTAAAGTTGTTTTAAAATGCGAGACTATATAAGTAATTCTCAAAGCTTTAGTTGGTTCGAATATCATCATTTCCTCCATGGTGAGCCTGCTTGTGAATTATTAAGCATTTGTTTGCATTCTCTGTTCTTCACTCATTTATTTCTTGCAGCGTGCTATGGACTCAGTGCTCTTTCTGTATTGATGAAAAGCAGTATGTGGGCCAATC